CCGCCTGTTTACGCCGTTGCCATGGCATCGAAAGTGATGCAGACGCAAGGGTGGTGATCGAGAGCAGCTCCGCCTCTGACTGGCTAGCCACACTGCCATTGTGATGTCGCTCGCCCCCGTGCGCGGGGACCGCCCGCTGCATGCCGGGAGTCATAGTCCGCGGCGCGGGCCCGACGCGCACGCGCAGTCTGGCTGTCTGCCGTCGCGCCGAGCTCCCGTAGGCTCGAACTAGCCTGGGGTAGCTGCGCAGGTGAGGGTGTCTCGCGGGCTGCCGCGGAGCCGCGACCTGCTCTTCCTGGGTGGGCCGTTGCGGTGCGGCCTGCATGAGCCGCGCAGCCGCGTTCTGCGGTGTCCTGTGGGGGGCGGGGGAAGGGGGCGGGGCTGAGGCCCGGCTGGGGGAGGGCTCGGGCCCCCCAAGTGGGGTGTGCTGCGTGGGGGCGGTGCTGAGGCCGCAGGTGAGGGCGGGGCTGGGGCCCCGGGGGTGGGGGGGGGCGTGTGCCGGGGAGGGAGCGGGGCTGAGCCCCTGGGTTGGGGAGGGGCTGGGGGGCTCCCGGAGGAGGTGTATGCCTGGGAGGGGGCGGGGCTGAGGCCCTGGGTTGGGGAGGGGCTGGGGGCCGGGCTGAGACCCCGTGGGGGGAGGGGCTGGGGGCTCCCGGAGGAGGGGTGTGCGGGGGGGGCGGGGCTGAGGCCTGGTGGGCGGACGGGCTGGGCGCACCCTGCCGCAGACTGAGGGGAGGGGACCCGAGGAGCGTCTGTACGGGCCCGCGTTGTGGGTCCGGGGCGGGGCCTGAGGCTGAGGTCCCTGAGTGGCGGAGCAAGGGCCGTTCTAAGCCGCCTGGGGTGTGGCCAGGGTGAGGCCCTCGGGACGCCCCGCTTGTCCCGTCACCTGGGGGCGGGTTCGGCTGGCGGTGGTCGTTCTTCCCCCCCCCTCCCCCCCCCCCCCCCGCCGCTCTAGGACCCCTTGGTGGGCAAGGGACCCCGGGGAGAAAGACAAGAACGGGTCTCCCTGGTGCTGCCGGCGGAGGCGCTGGCAAGGGGAGTGGGGACCACTGAGGATGTTCTTTAGAAAAGTCTGGAATGTATGGAAAAGTTCTAGGGAGAGGGCGTGGAACGTCTGCACACCTGTTGGTGCTGGCTAAGTTTTGTGTCCCCTGCTCCTCTTCCCCTCTCCGTGTTCGTTCCTCCACATCCTCGCTTCCCCTCCTCTCTCCCCATTCTCCTCTCGTATACAGACGTGTACCTTGGCTGAGTGCTTGGAGGCCAGGCTGCACAGTCCCCGCCATCCTCTCTTCCATACCGGGGTTTAGTGCTCCATCCTCCCAGTCACTCCAACGACGTCTTGTAGAAGTTTCTTTTCGGCAGAAGTTTCCTTTTCTGCTCCGGGCCTCGGGCCTCATGTTGCTGTTGTCGCTGTTTCTCTGCATGCTCCTTAGGTCTGTGACTTTCTTTGAATTCCTGACCTTTAGGCTTTTGGGGTCTAGACCAGTTGTGCAGGACATCTCTTGCTTGGGTCTGTCTGTCCTGTATGGATCCAGAGTTTACTTTCTTGGCGGTGAACAGAGAAGGCAGCTGAAATGTTAAGGATGATCCTTTGCTCCACGTTCTTTCATTCTAAAGACACCTTTCCCCCTTTATAATGAGTAGGTGATCCTTGGGTGAGGCCAGGACAGCCTGTGAATATCCTGTCTTTGAGGTGGGAATGTGGGGGTCCGTGGGGAGTGGGCAGGGCCTGGAGGTAGAGCTGAGGAGTTGGGAGCCAAGCTTGAGCTCTGCTCAGCCCAGTGTGAAGGGGCTTTGCCTGCAGGAGGCCCACCAGGCTTGGGGACCTTTCAGCTCAGCCGCCCACTCAGCCACGAGGGCTTCCTCTACAGCCCAGGACTAGGAGAGAGGCCCATGGGATCAGCTACAGCCTCAGCTCCAGGAAAATCCTTTCCCCATCTGAGGCAAATCCTGGGTGGCCCCAAGATGGGGTAGGGGGCTTGCCTGGTGACCAAGCCAGGAGGAGCTTGGGCAGTGCTGCATGGCCTCAAGCAAGCTGGGGACAGGAAAGGGTCCTTGTGGTCCCCCAGAAATCATTGCAGCAGGGTGACTGGGCTGGGACCAGCATTGTGAGGCTCTGGTGGACAATGAGCCCCATGAACACACGTTAGCGAGTTCACAGTTACCTTTGTAGAGATGGGTTCCGTGCAGGCTGAACATGCTCGTGGTATCCTAAGAAAATCGAAATGACATGCCCACAGATCTGCCCGTGTGCCGCGTAGGGCGCTGTGTGTCCCGTGCCTATAGGGAGAAATGCAGCTGTGCCAGTGGCTGAAGCTGGCAGTCCTCCTGCTGACATGCGTGGCTCTAGATGAGTCAAAGGCAGAGAATTGGTTAAAAAAATTAGTCTGGAACATGGGTCAGCAAACTGACCTGCAGGCCGGCCGGCAGCCTGTTTTGTAATGAAGCTGTACAGGGACACAGCCAGGCCGGTGGAGTGCAAGTGTCCCTGGCTGCTTTCCCACCACAAGGTGGAGCTGATAGTCATGACGGAGAATGACTGGCCTTAAGAGCCTAAAATATTTTCTATCTGTCCCTTTGCGTTCCCACCTCTGCTTTAGCAGAATGAATGCGAGAATGTGTTTCTAAGCCTGAGGTCAGGAAGGAAGCTCTTTCTAATCAAGTTTCTGAAGTCAGAAATCTATTTTTTCAAAAAAGTAGATTTGGCAGTTAGAAACATTAGAACCCTATGTGTGGCCACAGGAGAGCATGAAGTGAAAAGGCAAGCCACAGACGGGGACACCAGCACGACAGAGCCAGACAGAGAGCGCTCTAACCACGTAACAGAAAGGGAGCTGTAAGGAAAATGCCACGGAAAAGTGGGTGGTTCACCCACAGAGATGAATAAATCCTGAGGGCACACTGGCAGTGCAATGAGCACATTCTGTGGTCTGAAGGTCCCCAGTGCAGGGCGTGAGGAAGGGGCATCCAGGGGGCACTGCTGAAGCCAGTGGCGGGGTTGAAGTTGCCTCCTGGGGGCTGCTGGGTTACTGCGTGTGCTCAGTGGCCTAGGTGTCCCACTTCTCCATTTACCTTCCAAATATATCACCAGCCTGACCCCACATACAGGGATGTGAGGGTCTGTAATAGCCAAAGAAAACCAGGCACAGCCAGCGTGCCTCTAACATAGAACCGGCACCATTAAAAGTCGCTTATGTGTCAACAGATGCTGCCCAGGGACTGGCCTGTGAGTAACCCCTGCTCCCCTGGGGTTCACGTTCCAGGGGGGAGGCAGGCAGGAGGCAAGTAAAGGCAGGGGAGGGGGCACCAGGTGGTGCAGGGAAGGTCTCCCTGTAGGAGGTAAGAAGAGAGTGACCTGCAGGAGGGCGTGAGGGGAGTTGGGGGCTGGTGGTGATAATGATGGTGGCAGAGCTCCTTTTTCCTGGAGGGAAAGGGAGCCTCATGTGGAGTGTCTTCTGCGGCCCCAGGGGGAGAGGGGAGCAGTCGACAGTTGAGTCTCTGCCAACTTTTTTCTTTTTTTTTTTCTCCTCTTCTCCTCCCCAAAGCCCCCCAGAATGTAGTTGTATATTCTAGTTGTAGGTCCTTCTGGTTGTGCTGTGTGGGAAGCCACCTCAGCTTGGCTTGATGAGTGGTTCTAGGTCTGCACCCAGGATCCGAACCCGCAAAACCCTGGGCCACTGAAGTGGAGCACATGAACTTAACCACTCGGCCATGGGGCCGACCTCTTTTCTTCTTTTGTTTTAACAGCTTTATTGAGATATGATTTACATAAAGTTCACCTGTTTAAAGTGTAGAATTCAGTGATTTTTTGTATATTCACAGAGTTGTACAACCATCACCACAGTCAATTTGAGAATGTTTTTATCACTCCAAAGAGTGTGCCCCTAAGCAGTGACTCTCCTCCCCACCCTGTTCCACCTCCTGGCAACCGCTGATCGTGGTCCTGACTGCGGATTTGCCTGTTCTGGACATTTCACAGAAATAGGAATGGAATCGCACACCCCCAGGGCTGTGAGGTCCTCGCCCCCTGCCCTGGCGGTGATGCTCAGAGCTCCCCTGCGTTACTGGGAGGAGTCGGCGATGCCCGGTTCCACCTCGCTCACTTGTGGAGTCGGCTTTGTGAGCAGGGGTTGCTGAGAAAGTGTTCCCACTGCAGCTGTGCTCACACACAATGTTCTTGAATTCCTCAGGGGTGTGTTGGGAAGAAAACGTGGTTCGTTTCTGTGGCACAGCCAAGGGGAGCATTCCCACTGGGTTTTCCGTGGCTTTTGTCTGGGCCGGCTCCCTCCCAGTGGAGGAGCAGACCTGGCAGGGTCTGGGAGGAGTCAGAGTTCATGTCCCTGTGTGTTCATGGCCAGCGGCTGGAGGCCTGGCCCACTACTGCCTGCTGGGTTCTGTTGTTTAACATACTCAGTGTTTGTCAACAGTTACAATCGATAATTTCCCCTAAACATCCCGAAACCGGCTTCTCTTGAACGATGCAGCTGCACATCAGGATCAGCTGGGGGTGGGGAGAGGGCTGCCAGGACCTGAACCTCCACTCACGACGGTCTACCCCCTCATTGTACCCCACTTCTGGTCTACTTCTTACACCTCCCACCTGCCTCTGTGGGTGGGTCAGTCCAGGTCTGCAGGCCTCTGCTGTTTCCAGAAACAGGTGCAGGCTGTCCACTGACCTATTTCAGATTTTCAGTTCTTCTAATAGGAGGAGCAATCCGGACACCTCGCCCTGCCATGGTATTGGAAACTGAAGTCCTCATAAGTTTTTTTTTCCCCAAAGATTGGCACCTGAGCTAACATCTGTTGCCAATCTTCCTCCTCCCCCTCCTC